GTGAAAGAGCATTCGACCAATATATTAATTTGGTAGTTGGATAGACTAGCAATTGGAATTTGACGTGAGAGATTATGGTAGAAGATGAGTGAGAGGATAGATTCTGACAATGATGGAGATTCAGGTTGTGAAAATAGCGTGTCTATGCAGATTGAGAGATGCAAAAAGTAGAGAGGAGAAGAACAAAAGTAAAATGTAAAAATAAAATAGAATGTTGCTTCTTATAACCAAATAAGTTATTTCTTTTTTTCTTCATTGACACATGTCCTTGGACATTTCAATTTAAAAATAACAAGGGTAGTTTAGAAGTGTGGAACATGTGATGTGCCATAACAACATTGGGTGTCTGGGTTACATGTGCAAAAAGGGTGGTGTTGTGTAGAAGGAGAAATGGGTGAAAATGGGATCATTTACTAGGTCCCTTGAGTGAGGTCTTATTTGAAAGTGTAGGTGGAGGACTTAAGGGCTAACATCTCACCACCACCAAATCTATTTAGTATGACAATATTTCTTTTCATAATCTGCATATCTGACATTTCACACAATTGGAGTTTGACGTGAGAGATTATGGAAGGAGATGATAGGATTGAAACACTGAGGATTTTTCTTGTGAAAATGGGTGTTGGTGCATCTATTTTGATGGAGATACGACTAAAGTGGAGAGAACTAGGCGAACACGAAAATAAAGAAAGAAAAATTAGTTATGTTCTTTATTGTCTTTGGGCATTTCAACACAAAGTAACAAGCGTACATCATGCACACTTGAGAAGTATGGAACATGTCATGTCACCGCTGGGTAATGGACACATTTTCTGTTAACAATTAGTTGTTTGATATGTACAACTCTTAGTTTTAGGTGTATTTATATAAATTTGGGGCGAGTTTAAGGGGTCGTATATGTATTGAACTGCCTCTAGGAGATCTTCTTTTAGCTTGTCTTACGAAGCTTGCAAATAACCAAGATCTTTTTTTCTATTGCAGGTGGTTCTCCCTGTAGACCAACTTAAAGCTGTTAATCCATCAATTAGCAAGATCAATCCAGCTGAGAAGTACATCCAGGTCATCTCAGTTGACAATCATGAGTTTTGGTTTATGGGTTTTGTTAACTACGATAATGCTGTCAAAAGCTTGCAAGGTGCTCTGTTGGGCGACCACTCATAGGTGGTTCGTCAAGTTGTTGATCATTTCAGATGAGGTCTGTGGTAGTGGTGCTTTCTGTTAATGTAGATAAGATTCTGTAATATATGGCAAATCGGGGGTCGGTGATTGTTATGCCTACATGCTTTAGTTTGTCTATTGGTTTGGTATCTTGTGCATTACATCCTATATTTCCTGGATGATTATGATTAGCATCGTTTAGTATTTCTAATTTTCAATTGCTATTTATACTAAATCATCCAGAGAATACACTAGTGGATTTGGTAATACATAGTGCATTGTATATCATCATGAAATTGAATAATGTTATTTTTGTAAATAAGATATTCACTTGTTTATGTATCTGCGGGAAATGCAATTTAGTTACCAAATTGTATGAATAACTAACTGTTCATCTCTTTACCTTGATTGAGTAATTTTGAGGTACTGGTACTCAGACTTTAATTCTCGAAAATGATACTTAACTTGAAGGGTTAAATTTGCAAAGCCTATAGTCTGAATCAAGTATCTGCATGTAAAAATTGAAAATGTTCTTTCTTTTGCCCTTTGGCACTGGGATTAAAGACATTTGAAAGTTCCAAATAAATCTGAAAGAACCCCAATCGACCTTCAAAGCAAATCTGAGCAGTCTTGACAGCATGTCCATAGGAGCTACTCTTAATTCGCTTCTCTTTATCTAAATCATGTTACATTCAAGTATCAACTAGTGTTTTGTAACTCTTAAAACATAATAACACAAGGCATGACTTCGAAATTTCCTTTAACATCTTACATGAAGAACGTAGAGAACTTGTCAATAGGTTAAACAATGTTTATTGAGTCCTGCCCACTTCAAGATAGAAAGAAGCTTGAATCTATGATATACCTTGGTGTTTAGCTCGCAAGTCATTTTGAACATCCATTAGTTTAAATTTAATTGCGACTCTAGTTTAAATGTTCGACACGCGCGTTTAATTTGCCTTCATCTTCCATTAAGTTCAATACAATTTCTTTTTTTATTTTTTTTTATTTTGGTATGCAACAAAATAACAACAGACAATATATTCACTCAAATTTAACAAGTGACATTTTATAGTAAAATATATTTTATTATAAATTTCTTCTGATAATTGTTTTAATCTAATTTTTTCTTCAAGATTGTTTATTATATATTCTATTTATGAAATACCTTGGGTTTTTTTATACATATATAAATTCTTTTGTATTAAGTAATTTAATAATCTTATTTTTTCCATGGTTTCTATCCAATATTTTAAATATTCATAGTTCATTTTAATATGAATCTATTTCTAAATTATATATATCTATTCTTTCTATATCTAATTCTTGTATTATATTCTTGTAGCAATTAGTGACAGAAACATAGAAAAATCATTAGTATTATATTGGAAAGTGTCAGGAATAGAGCTAGCACCTGGAAGTAAAATATTTACAACCAGATGTAAATAAAGTAAATAAAATAAAAATAGAAAACCCTTTTGAAAAAATAGTTACGGTTATAGATAATAATGATTATAGTCTCAACGAAATTGATATAGAAGAAGATTTAGAGATAGTACAAGAAAGACTAAGCACATCAAAAAGAATAAATAATAATGATATACCACAAACATCATCAAAAATGAGTACTTCAAATAGTTCCAAAAGAATAAATATAATTTCACAAAAATTAATAGAAGAAGAAACAAAAGCACACCATTATTATATAACAGGAATAATGGAACAAAGAAAATATTTAATACTAATAAATACAGGACAAGAAGAAAGCTATATTACAAGAGAGTTAGTAATGGAAGATAAAATAATAACTACGGAACACTCATGTCCAGAGTTACCAAAAGTATTAATAAATATTGAAGAGACAACGGAACAAGAAATAATAGTTGGAGGTATACCAATGATAATAAAATTTAAAATATATCAAGGAAATGAAAAAATATAACATTGGAAATAAAATGGCTAGAACAAGTAAAACCATATAATATAGAAGATAAACAACTAACGACAAATTATCAAAATAGAAAAGTCATAATAAAAAGGATTTTAATATTAAAAATATATGAAATTACATATACTCGCGAAGATAATAATAGAAGGATATTATAACAGATATTATACACCAATGATAGATTTTTTGGAGTAGAGGCTAATATATGTAAATACAATTGTTTACCAGAAGAAAAAAAGGGAAAAGTTAAAAACACCAATAGTAGTACAGGATTTAATAATAAAGGAAGTATGATCAATATAAGGCAAAAAATATAAAAATACAAATATGGGATAAAATATTAACTGTATACGAAATATATAATTTTGAACTAACAACAAAGGATATGTTATTAGGAATGCCATTTTTAGAAAAATTATATCCACATATAATAACAAAAAACACACTGGTGGTTCACAACACCATGTAAACAAAAGATAGGAGCAAGAAGAGTAGGTAACAAAAGAAGAAAAACAACAGAATGGATTAAAGGCGGTGAAAAAATTACACAAAAATTAGAAAATATAATAGAAGAATACCCTAGAATAGAATTAATTATATTTTCCTTAGATAAAGTAAAAATAATCCAAGAAAAAATTAGAATTATTGAATGACGAAGATCCTTTACAAGGATGGAAAAAACAGAAAACAGAAGTTAAATTGAACTGATTGATGAAAATAGTATAATAACACAAAAACCATTAAAATATAATTTTAATGATTTAAATGAATTTAAAAAACATATAAGTGAATTACTAAAAAAGGGATATATACAAGAAAGTAATAGTAAACATACAAGTCCGGCATTTATTGTTAACAAATGTAGTGAACAAAAAAGAGAAAAAAGTAGAATGGTAATCGATTATAGAAATTTAAATGCAAAAACTAAAACATAAAATTATCCAATACCAAATAAAATATTAAAGATAAGACAAATAGAAGGATGTAATTACTTTAGTAAATTTGATTGTAAATCAGGATTTTATCATTTGAAATTAGAAAAAGAATCTAAAAAACTTACAGCATTCACAGTACCACAAGGATTTTATGAATGAAATGTTTTACCATTTGGATATAAAAATGCACCAGGTAGATTCCAACATTTTATGGATAACTATTTTAAACAACTAGAAAATTGCATAGTATATATTGATGATATATTATTATATTCTAAAACACAAGATGAACACATAAGATTATTAGAAAAATTTATACGTAGAATATAACACTCAGGAATAAGTTTAAGTAAAAAGAAAGCAGAAATAATGAAAAAACAAATAGAATTCCTAGGAATACAAATAGATAAAAATGGAATAAAAATGCAAAAGCATATAGTACAAAAAATAATAACCTCGAATGAACAATAAGATACAAAAAAGAAATTACAATCCTTTTTAGGATTAGTTAACCAAGTAAGAGAATATATACCAAAATTAGCAGAAAATTTAAAACCATTACAACAAAAACTAAAGAAAGATGTAGAATATCATTTTGATAATAGAGATCAGACACAAATACAAAATATAAAATTATTATGTAAAACATTACCAAAATTATATTTTCCGGATGAATATAAAAAATTTGTTTATATTGTAGAAACTGATGCAAGTGAGAAAAGTTATGGAGGAGTATTAAAATATAAATATAATAATAATAATAATATAGAATATCACTGTAGATATTATTCAGGCACATATACAAATACGGAAATAAAATGGGAAATAAATAGGAAAAAATTATTTTCACTATATAAATTTATCAGCATTTGAACCATATATTGTATATAACAAATTTATTGTAAGAATAGATAATACACAAGTAAAATGGTGGTTAACCAGAAAAATACAAGATTCAGTAACAATGAAAGAAATTAGAACATTGATATTGAATATATTAAACTTTACATTTACAATTGAAGTAATAAAGACTAATAAGAATGGTGTTGCAGACTACTTATCAAGACAAAACTACTCAGACTGAGAACAAAAAAGAAGATACAATTGAAGAACTACTCAAAGCCATTACTACACTTTGTACTAAAGTGGACAGTATGGACAATGAGATACAAAAGCTAAAGACTAATGAAGATAACCTGAAGTCTAAAGCTAATATAAGTCAGCAGTATGACTATAAAAATGCGGATCTACGTCGATCGGAAGACGGTAAAATTCCATAGATAAAAGGAGACGATGGGAAACTCCCTAAAACCCATAATGTTTGTTTAAATACAGCTGCAAGTACAAACAGAAATGTTAGTGAAAAACCACGAAATAAAAATTTAAACCAATTATTTATACAACCATTTACCCAAAATACACAAAAACAAATACCCACAGAACCACAAACCTCTACATACGCAGTTATTATACAAGGTGATAAAAAGAGATACAATTACATCACACAATCGTATATTGAAAACATATATAAGATCCAAACATTTTTAAATTTAAACCCCAGATCCACACAAACCAAAAACCCAAATGAGGATTATATAACCCAAAAATCACAAGGATATAATAGATTGATTGCACAACCTAAAACTAGTTCAAACTTAGTTAAAACATGTTACAATTATGGATTACTAAGTACCGTATACACATATGATGGAGAAGAAATAAGTGGAATACCAGAATTATACAAAGCGTTCGTCATATACAAAAGAGTTACCAAAGGAAATTTATTTTATATTAAGTTTTATACAACGCCAGCCAGGGTTACGAAAGGCGCTCGCCTCCTCGCCAAAGGCGAGAGACGTGGCGAGGCGAGGGTTCCTCGCCATTCTCTGGCAAGGCGAGGCGAGGGTAAATAAGCGAGTTGTGGTACTGAAATGGCGAGAGAAAAGGCGCCACCTTTTTAATTAAAAAATTTTGACTTAATAATATTAGTCAAAATTAGGGTTTTTTTTTTCTTTTGAAAATTTTCTGAAATCCACATCATGACTCTCTCTCGATCGATCGATTGACTCTTCTCTTCTCCTCCATCGCGTCTCTTCTCCCTCGCTATCGCCTTTTGCTTCTCCTTCTCCCTCGCCGACCGACCCTCGCGACTCTAGTTCCCTCCGACGTCCAACCCTCGCGACTCTCACTCTCTGTTTTCAGGTTCTGTTTTCTGATTTCTCTCTTCTTCTTCAACAATTTTTTTCTGTTCTTCTTCTTCATTTTTTTTCAGTTACTGTTTTTTTGTAACTTGTAACTTGTAAGGCTGAGGCATTAAGGGACTAAGGGTAAGCAGCAGTCAGGCACTAAGTGCTTACTACTTACTGCTTTGTGTAACAGTAAAGTGTAATTTTTTTAAAAATTCTTTTCCTAATTATTTATTCCAATATTTCTAAACAGCGAATTAATTGAATTTAATAATCAATGGCGGATGCTAGCAAAAAGAGGGACATTGAATGGAATTATGGCACACAAGGAGCGACGAAAGATTCGGTCAATTGTAACTTTTGGAGCAGAGGATTTTGATCTTCAAGATTTGGATAATTTTTAAGAAGAATAGACTTTTAAAGTTTTGGTTTATTGTATTTTGAATTGTTTGGTCTTTAAAGTTTTATACATTTTAGTATCTACTATTGATTTTTGAATTGAATATTTGCTAATATGTGTTATTGCTATTAAGACTTTGGATAAAATATGCAATTAAATATTTTTAATTTTTGGTAATAATTGACGCCTTTATTCAAAAAGGCAAGCGCCTCGCCGCGTGGCGAGACAGGCCCTTGTCGCCTTTTGTCGCCTCTCGCCGTCCACAACACTGACGCTAGCTGAGATATTATATGAAGAAATCAAGTCATCAATTCAAGTTATAAAGATAGGTTTGACCAAGGATATGATAATACCAGAAGATATAGAAAAACAGGCTAAAATACCAAATATAGAAATACCAAACTTTTATGCAAATAAAAGAATAATTGGTATATCAACAATTATACAAGAACTAGCTAACAATTATTTAAACGGCAATGCTATTTGGAGTTACTATGCAAGAGACCAAGTTATGATATATTCAAACTCAAGAGAATTAAGAAGAACAGATATGGATGAAGTCCAGCGATGGATTTTATCATTATTAAAGCCAGAGGAACAACCTACAACAAGAGCATTAAAGAAAGAATTTATAGAAGATTTATTAATCAGATATTGTAAACTTATCGGACACAAATATTCAGATCACAGATGTTCCAAATGTAATGGAGAAGATAATGTTATACCAGATGTTGATTTGGAGTAAAAACGGAAGAGATAAGCAAGATAAGATAAAAAAAGCTATGATGATAAGACAAAAGAAGAAAAAGACATAAAGAAGATGGCCGACAAAGAGATAAGAATTGTTGAAATGTAAAAGCAAAGATAAGATTTTTCAAGATAAGATTCCTTTGTAGATAAGATTTTACTTTTTATTAGCCAATGTATAGCATCTATTTGTAAAGTTTTTATTTTAAGTCATAAAGTAAATAGTAGTGGTAGTAAAGTATACAGTAGGCACACTTATGTGCAGGCTTAGAATTTAGTATATATAGATTGCCAAATTGTAAATGAAAGGCAGGAAATGCCAAACAAAAGTTTAAGTTAATAAACTCTCTCAAAATACAAAAAACTCTCTCAACCAAAGATATAAACTAAGCTAAATATATGGAGATATCGGAAATCAAATCAGATATTTTAGATAGCATGACAAGTCAAGAGGCAAAGATATATTGTTTAATAGATATGCAGAACTAATTTCATATATTCCTGAATATCATATATATGATTAATTAAATTTATGTTAGTTATTATATACTAGAAATATTTGAATCTTGAATTCTAGTTTGCTAGTAAACGGGAAACAGGGAGAAAACTGCTAGATTATGCCATCCCACAGTGAAAACCGGTAGGCGAGGGATGCCGTTAGGGGAGTACACAAGGTTGAGGCGCTGATAAACAGTAATTATCCGCTAAAGTACGATTCTAGTAGTGACCGGAAAACATGATAACGATACTCTAGTTTATAATAAACTAATATGAATTTAATTGAATTATGATATGATAGGAAGGAATAATTGAAAACAAACCTGCATAAATAAATAAGATTACAATGTATGATGAAATAAAAAGCCATAAAACTTTGATTTTATATATACTTAAAGATATAGAAATTGATGACATAAAAAGAGTTATATGGGAAAAAATATTTGAGTATGATTTAGAAGATATATTAAATCAAAAGTGGTATGAAATAGATTTACAAGAATTAGATATAGAAAGAATAGATATATATGATTTAGAAATAGATTCAGATTAAAATGAACTATGAATATTTAAAATATTTGATAGAAACCATGAAAAAAATAAGGTTATTAAATTACTTAATACAAAAGAATTTATATATGTATCAAAGAACCCAAGATATTTCATATATAGAATATATAATAAATAATCTTGAAGAAATAATTAAATTAAAATAATTATCAGATGAAATTTATAATAAAATTTATTTTACTCTACAATATATATATATATATATATATATATATATATATATATATATATATATATATATATATAATAATTTACGATGAATGTATGATAAATTCCGCACCCCCAACAATGGCATACTTTGGGTGGTCAGTGCATACCTTTAATTGAAGGCGGACTATGTGCGGCACTCTAGACTATTTGCCACCTGAGATGGGTATGCATGTTATATGAAATGAATATTTTATGCAGAAGGTTTTGGGATGATCGAAATTCAGGCCCTTTCACCGCCCACTTCAAATCGAGAGCAGTTCATAAATGGAGGTTGGTCTTTGATATTTTATCCCCATAAGAGAAGTCAAGATAATATTTCAAAATGATTACTCAACTAAGGATTTTTATCTTACAAAGTCATTCAAATAAGAGTCCTTTATCTTAGAAAGTCACTCAATTATAAATATTTCATTTACAAAGTCACCCAATTGTTTGAAATATTTTTTTTGTTTTGTTTTAGGTTAAATATTTAAGAAACAAAATATCTGTTTAAATCATCTTATTTATTCAACCCACTAAGATTATATAAGTGAAATATATATTTACCTCTGACATTAAACTAAAATCATAGAAGTCATTTTATGATTTTATAATGTCAACCTAATATTGTCATAATATTCGGATATGTTTCCAGTTTACCAGTTATAGTATAGAAATAAATTAACGGTAAACTAACGGAGTGAACAGAAAAAATCATGAAGTCGTATTTCTTTCTATAACTTATATTCTATATAAGATATATTATGATGTCAAAGCTGATATTGCATAATATTCTGCAATGCTTCCAGTTAAATAGTTATAAATAATATAAATTTTTGTAAAACTAAATTAAATTTTACTAACTAAAATATTTATGCGATGTACATTTATCTTAGCATGATACCGAAATTGTTTAAATGAGTATTTTTTTATTTCTTAAAATTTTAGCTTAGAACAAATTTTTATTTTAATACACGTAATGAAAAAGTTATTTAAATTAATCAAGTGATTTTTAAGTAAAATATCTATAATTAAGTGACTAAGTGAAAAATATGCAGTTGAGTGCCTTTTGACGTAAAATTTATAGTTGAGTGACTTGTGTTTTAAAACAAAGGTGAGAGGCTTTCTACTTTTAATTGAGCGACTTTTTATGAAATATGCATGTATATAGAAACATGAGAATACGTGAAACACATGTTGAAAGAGTACATGATACAAGCTAATACCTCAAGTTGAAATTGAAGCAGAGGAAAAAGAAATGTAGGTACTTGGACATCATACAGCTTCGGCCTTCCATGTAAACTCTTAACTAATTGATTCCTCCAAAAAAAATTCACGAAAGCAACCTCTTTATTTCTCAACTTCAAGACTTGATGGTCTAGAATCTCAAATAGAACTTCGTTATAAGAAAGACTTTCTTTCACATCAACATTGTCTAAAAAAACAATTGAAGTAGGATTACCAATACACTTTTCAACAAGGGAACATGAAATACCGGATGGATCGATGACAAATCTCAAAGAAAATCCAACTCATACACCACACAGGCGAAATACCTCAAAATCTGACATTGACCTAAATAATGGGAACTAAGCTTCCTTTCTTTCCAAACATCATCATACCATTCATAAGTTGAAACTTTCAAGTAAACTCAATGGAACTAATCTTCCTTTCTTTCCAAACATCATCATACCATTCATAAGTGGAAATTTACAAGTAAACTTAATCATCAACGACAAATTCAAGAACTCTTCTTCTCATATCAGCAAAGGAAATTTGTCGACTTTGAGTCGTCCTCAATCTATCTCTAATAAGACAAACATTCTCCACATCCTCATAAACTAACTCAGACCCAATCAAAGCAACCTCACTAATTTCACACCATCCGATAAGAGACCTACACTTTCTACTATTTAGAGCCTATAATAGAATTATCTGAATAATGAAGTGTAAACTGTTATTAGAAGCAAACTCAACCAAAGACAAATGATCATCGTAATTATCTTAAAATTAAATCAAACAAGCGCTCAACATATCTTATGAAGTGTAAATAGTACGCTCGGCCGGACCATCGTTCTTCAAATGGAAAATCATGCCAAGCTTAACTTGTGTACCTCGGTTTGATATGATGGATATGGGCATACCATGCATCTTGACTATATCTCGAATATAAATGTAAGCATATTCCTTTGCTGAATAAGAAGTCTTCACGGAAATGAAATGTGTGAACTTCATCAATTGATCCATAACAACCAAAATGGAATGCTATCGGGTGAGGGATAAAACTCTAATGAAATCCATATTGAAATATTCTCATTTTCAAGCAACGATGCTAATATCTCAATTCTTATCTCTTGGCTTTTTATGCTCAACCTTCACTTATTGGCAATTCAAATACTTAGCCATATATTATGCAATATCCTTGTTCAATTCGTTTTACTAATAAACTTTCATTAGACATGATAAATCGTGGTAACTCCTAGGTGAATAGAAAATTGAGAATTATGAGCTTCGGATAAAATCTGTTGCATCAACTCCTCAACATCTGAAAAACACAAAAGACCTTGGTAACGAAACACATCATCCTCCCTTGGGAGAAAATCTAAATGGTTTTTTTCAAGCACCTCTTTTTCCAGCTCCACTAAAGTAAGATCATTACCTTGCTTTGCCTAAACATTATACACAAGAGACAATTCCAAACCATTTTGAACAATGAAACTACTATATTCAAAATTAGTCAAAATGAACACAAAACGAGCTATTCTTTGCACATAAAAAATGAACAAACTCCTTTTATCATCATTAATATGAGAAATGCTACACATAGATAATCAGTTAAGAGTATCAACAACCACATTTGTCTTACCTAGATGGTAAATAAAACTCATATCATAACACTTCAATAACTCAAATCACCTTCTTAAGAGAATATTAAAATACTTTTTAAAATAGATATTGTAAACGCTTATGATTGATGAACACATCTACATGAACACCAACAGAGGTAGTCTCTCTAAATATTCAAAGTAATATTCACCGCTGCCAACTTCAAATCATGGGTCGGGTATTTTTTAAATGAAATTTAAGTTGTCTTTACGTGTATACCATTACCTTATCATGTTTGATAAAAACACGAGTAAGACCGATTATGGAAGCATCACAATACACCATAAATTCATCAAAACCTTCTAGGAAAGTCAAAATTGATGATGTTGTGGGTCAAGTCTTCAGGTCTTGAAAAATCTTTTCAAAATCCCCAGACCTTTGAAATTTCACCTTTATGGATTCAAAGTAATAAAAGGTGAAGCAATATAGGAAAATCCTTCTACAAACCTTCTATAACAACATGCCGAACTTAAGAAACTCCAAATATTTGAGGGAGAAAGAGTTCTAGGCCAGTTCTTATCTGGTACAATCTTATTAGGATAAATTTGAATAAATTCACCTACAAAATTTTTTCCAATAAATGCAACAGGCTTCAACAAAAATTTTTACTTGCTAAACCTAACAAACAATTGTCAATCCTTCAGAACTTGCTATACTGTACATTTCTCATTTCATTGGAGAAACTTCTTTTTCCAAATTACATCATGCTCATTATAGCATCATTAGGAAATAATGCAACTCTGTCAAAAGAACATTTGGACAGGTTCAACAATTCACCTGATGAAGCATATAGAGAATTCAAACTAAATGCATATCAACATGAGTAACACAATTCATGAAAACTCATTTTTTTCTCATTCAAACAAGAATCCAACTAGATCATGCATAACATAAGGAGACCATGAAAACTCATAATCATACATGGCTTAAAAACATGAAGCAAACCAAAAAGGAGATCTTTGTTTAAGAGTTGAATAGGCATATATAGAAAGGGATAAGGATATTTGGATTCCTCATAGACCCTTGGTCAACCCCAATATCACCCTCAACTATAAATCCTATTATTCAACATACTGTCCCTCATTTACGGGTAAACCCAACTAATATCAACATGATCAAAACATAGGAACTGAATTGAGACATTCACAATTTAAAAGCAAACATCAAATTACCTGTGCTTTTAAACTTAGAAGGTCCTCAATAAGCAGCACTCACTAACAACCGTACCAGAATCACTGAAGGTCTCGTATGATTCGAGCACACTGGGTCTAAACTCCTCAAACCCACTACACCACTTAGAGTGAGAACATAAATCACGCTTCCTAACGACCCCAAAACGAATTATGTCAAGATATAGCCTAACATGTGTGTCATGATCTTATAAGTTATTAAACGACTAATTATAGTTTTAATAGGAAGTATATGGATTTTGGAAGGGTTTGGAATTGAAACATCCAAAAACGAACAAGACGTTCAAAATTTAGCCTTGAGACTTGCTGGCGTGCCTTAGTATTTCATGAGGTTTTGAGTAGTGTTTGGGGATCAAATTTATAGAAAAAATTCATAACATATAGACAGATGTATTTGGGGTAGGATCATCTGGAAAAGACTCCCCAAGGACCACCCTAAGCGTCCTTGAAGAGGACCCAAAAGTAGAAAGTGCATTGTAATTTGCAGTGTCAATTGACGTCTGTCTCGATGTCCCGTTCATAGTTCTACGCCCCGTAAATGGGGTAAATATCCCCACACTTAGGTGTGTTATATAAGACTCCAAAATTCATGGTCTATGTCATCATGGACAGACCTACAGGATTGCACCATCATTCAATCGACGGTCCGTCGACTGCAGGCATCGTTTGCACCTACAATGTTCCTGCAACACATTGCCAACTGAAGTGGTGAATGGGAAATTCATCCCACGTCCAAATAAATGCATGGATGATTATTTTAGGTAGTTTTAGGTATTTTATGAGTATTTAAACAATAAGAGAAATTGGGGGATGCTCTTAGGACGAATTTCACCAAGGGTTCAAGGCTCTTAACTAACGTATGAAAAGCTTACTCACTCATGGTTTTTTACATCCATGAAGTCCCCCAATTTTTCCTCAATTGTGAATCCAAAAGATCCCAACCTAGAGAGGGTTGTGATTGCATTGTGGGTAAGGCTTGATAGTAATCCCAATCTAGTGGGTAACATTACACTATGTTCAAATGATGATTATGTGATGTTTTAATGGTGAATTGTAGTAATTAATGTTGAAGGTGATTATGGATATTGTAGGCAAGATGAAGGTTCTAGGTTGATCTTCTTAATGCAATTGTATTATATGCTAATTGACCATGATTGAATCACCTAGATATGACTTTAACTAGGCCTATATGATCTACGATGATATTGACTCGTAAAGTTAGAATATAACCTATGTGATCATGAATGCCTAGATTTACCTTCTTACTATCAAATTATATTAACTTGAAATTGAACATAGATCATGATGAGTTGAGGGAAGTAATCGACTTTTAGGGATTGTATGCCATTGATGCTAGGGCTTTGGGGATAACGTCATTCTGAAAGGATTGTGATGACGTTTTCTTTCTCGTTTACACTTAGACATGAACAAGCAATGGGAATCAAGTTCTCTCACATATATAGATTCTATGTTGACCTAATAACCTAAAAAGAATCAAGCTATTATGAACTAGAATAGCTTGAAGTTGTATTGAAAGCCTCTTCTTGTTGATTTGACTTGGTAAGATAAGACGAAGGTGTATTAGATTGAGATGGTTGGTCTCATGATAACTTGAGGTGATGAATATCATGATAGCTTGGGATGAAGGAAGTAAGCTCTCTCATGTTTAGCTTGGTCATGTATTGCTAGGATGTTTGATCATGGTAGGTTTGGGATGGTGGTTTTCATGATAGCTTGGGATTAAATAATGAAGCTCTCCTAAGAGTACCTTGAAGTAGCATGCATGGAGTGCCTTGATGATAGATTTACTTGGTTAGGCCCAAACCATTTCATGAGAGCTTTAGAGGAAAGGCATATACTCTTTTAATGTTAAATTGACTTGCATACAAGGTGTATTTCTTGATAGCTTGATATGCATATGTCACGACCCAAAATGAGTCGTGAGTGGAACCCAGACTTACCTCCTTAGGTGGGCGAACTAACACATCTAAACCCCAACATATCCCAGTAGTTCAACTATAAATAATGCAGAAGCTCCAAAACTTATTAAGCAACCAATTTAAATAAATTTCGAAAGTTTAATACTTATCATCCCAAAATCTGATAGTCATCATGACAAGAACATCTATTTTCAAATTACCAAGTCTAAGAATGTTTAAGTAAACCAAAATAAGCAAAAAGATGGTCCATGTCTGAAATTCAAAGGCATCAAGACGTGAATGAGAGAATCCAACACGAGCTAGAAATAATAGCTCACCCTGAACTCTGATGTGCTGGAGACTGGCTAGATTTGAGAGAGAGTCGAAGTTGGTGGTACACTTGCTGCATGATATACCGTGGTTTCACGGTATAATTAATATTTTTTTCTTAAGTTTAGTGTGTCCGAAAGCCTTTTTTGTGCTAATTTTGATATAAGTTTCTCTTTGTTTTGCAGGAAATCTGTTCAAAGCTGAATGTGGAGATTTTGAGCGAAAAATGCAGAAGAGACCACCTAAGGAGCTTATGACGGTCCGTCGTGCCTGTGACGGTCCGTCGTGCCTGTGACGGTCCGTAGGTGGCAGCGTAGAGAAGCTGCTGAAGGAAGATGGGGAAGTCTGACCAAGTGTGGGATTACGAAGCTTGTGACGGTCCGTCATGGCTATGACGGTCCGTCCTGCAGGTTCATCATGAAGATCAGAGAAGTGATCCCAGTACCCAGATTCCAAGAGTTGAAGTATTTTGAAACGAGACCCTCGACGGACCGTTGTGCCTATGATGGTCCGTCACACTTGCCGTCGAGGGGAATGAAAAAAGCAGCATAAGAAATTGCACCAAGTATGGGACGACGGAGTCCACGACGGTCCGTCGCGTGGTCCGTCGACCTAGCTGCGTTTTGGCAGATTTCCAGTAATTAGAATCCTTGTTTAATTAGGTTTTTATTTTTTTTATAAATAGTTTGAAAAACCTCGTTTTTGAGGTTAGACTCTGCTAGATTAGAAATCATATTATTAGACTTTGTTTATTAGTGTTTGATTTTGAGAGATTCTTACAAGTAATTTTTGGTGATTAATCAAGCAAATTTTCGGACTTTATAGTTTCTCATTGAAGTAAGTACATGAATTCTTGTTTAACATATTTGAATATTGTGTTTATGGGTATGAGGAACTAAACTCCATAACTAGGGTTGTGGGAACCATAGGCAAATAATGAGATAAACCCTAGCTAAAATAACAATTCTAGAATAGTGTCTTGCATGTATTAATAATTCTTTCACTTAGAAGTCTTTTTAACGGATGATCAACGTTAAAACTCGCCTTAATGCTACTTGCTGGACCAAGGAGGTAGATAATAAGAAAAGAATTATTAACATATATTTAGTGTATACTATCTAATAGGCTAGTATTGATTGGTACGAGGTAATAACTTAGTCAAATATCGAATACGATGCTTAATATGAGGTAAAGATAAGGGTTAGGAAAGCAACACACGCAGCCGGACCAAGGTGCGGAGTGAGATTTTCTAGATGCCGGACCAAGGACTTAGAAATACATAACTTATCACTTTGCATGCAAGATACTAGGAAAGAATTGTTATAGATAGAATTATCAAGTTATGAACCTGTGGGGAACACGTAAACCCTAGTTACTTTGATTAATTGATTAAAACCCAAAATTAAAAGTTGTTAAGTGTCTCTGTCAAGTTCGTT